AATTTAAAAAAATTAAAAAATAACAAAAACTGAGAGAGCACTCTTATCTATTAATTAGCTATGAAAACAATACCTACCAAATCAAGTGTATATATATAGAAAGAAACTAATAAAAAAAAATGTAATGTCACGGGGTCAGCATATTTTGTTTAATTTACTTTTTAATAACGATACATATATCCTATAAAAGTTACATATTCAATTACACACTAATGGAAATCACTAGTGTGGAATGAAAATCGTCAGTTCTAACAGCATAAATAACAGAAATTGTTAATTTCAACAATACAGTAATAAAAGCTATCAATGTGTACTAAAGTATATAATTTTGTAAAATATATGTATTATTTCCCTTTACTTGTTCTTTAACACGTGCCATAGCTTTTTTTTTTTTTTTAACTTTCTTTCTTTTTAGTCCACTTTTTTTTCTCTCTCTCTATTCACTGATTGCATATGATATATATATATATATATATATATATATGAACATGAGAAAATTCAAAAGAGGGAAATTGATTTTATAAAAATTAAAATTAAGATTTTAATTTTAGTAAATTTATATTCTATTTAATGCAACTAGTACTGTGGGTGTGTATCTTTATATTTCTTACAATCTTTCATTTAATTTTATTCACTTTCTACTTTTCTCTATTGCACGTTTTATCTAGTAAGTATATTTTTTTTATTTTTTAATTAATTAATTGAAATTTAATTATATTTTTTATTTTGACAATATACTCTTATTAATGCACAATAATTTTAAATTTTAAATATTTAATTTTAAACTAATAAATCATACACTTTAAAATAAAAAAAATGTAAATACTAATAGGTACCACTCTATTCCAAAATAAATATTATTCTTTTAATTATGAAAATATTACCACATCCTTTTTCTTCTGTTGACTATAATACCCTTAATTAAATGCATTTTGAGTAGAGTTGTTGCCATACCATTTTATGTTTATTGACTATGGCCTTAATTTAATGATTGATTTATTAGCTATTAATCTTTTTTTTTTTTTTTTTTTTTTTTTTTTTTTTTTTTTTTTTTTTTTTTGTTTTAATTTTAATTGTTAGGCATCTATGCCTTTGTTACTTGTAAACGGACAAAGATTAGCTTTCGCTAATTTTGAAAAAAATTTACACTCAAATGGAACATTGCAGTTGTACTTATCGTAAGGAACCGATATGGATATGGACATTTGAATGTAATTCGATCTGCAGTAATATTTCACTGGTAAAAATAATGATAAATAAGATGAAAATTTATAATTAAAATATGAGATTAATAGTGTGATTTATATTATTTTATTAAAAATATTAAAACATAAATTTTATATAATTTAATAATTAATTTTTTTATTTTTTTGAAACTTATAATATTATGTGTATTAATTAATTTAATGATGTAACATAAACCACAATTTTAGTTTTAAATTTTCATCTCAAACTTTCATCCTCTCTATCATTAATTCATTACCGTAGAATTAAAATCTCTTTTTTTTTAAAAGAATAATTGTTATTTTTTATTTTAAATTTGTTTTAAAGTAATTGTTATTTTTTTTAAATAAATAAATGTTTTTTATTTTAA